TCCCGCCATGTCCATCGGAGCCCCCCCACCTCCATGCCCTCCGTTACCTTTCCCAGCGCCAGTCCTCATCCCGAGCACTGCCCCGACTATTCCCGCCTCGACCATGGAAGTTCCATCCCCCTCCTCCTCTCAGTCCCTCTCCACTTTGAGTACCCCTTCCCTAGTAGTCCCCGCTCCTTCACCCTCTCCGTCCGTCCTACGTCCTACGCCCCCCGCTCCTACCTACCCAACCGACCCTGTCTCCCCGGACCCTGTCCCCCGGTCGACTCTCCTTCTCCGGTATCCTCAGGAAACCCCGTGACCCCTACCCCTGCACCCCCATTGTCCCCCACTCCTTCTCATCCCCTCTCCTCCTCCTCCTCATCTTCCAAATATCCCCCGTCCCTACTCTCCGCTCTCATGAATCTTGTTCAGCCCGTTAGTCCCGGTCCCTTATCCACAGATACCCCTCCCATCCTCAAGGATCCTCTCACTTCTCCTCCAGCGTTACCTCCTCCTGAAGCCCCAGCCCCCTCTGCCTTGTTGCCTCCTACTCCCGCGGCCGATTTGCCGTCCCTCATCTCCGCCCTCACCACCCTAACCCAACCTCCCGTCACCATCCCCCCGACCTTGACACAGGCCCTTGGTCCCGTCCCTCCGACCCCTTCCCCCGTGACCCCTGACACACACATGACCAATGACCTGTCCGGCTCAATATCCGCCCTCTTCACTGCTGTTACTTCCCTAGTTACTTCCGCGATCCCCGTACCGCCTCCCATTGACGTACCTCCTCTTCCTCCTCCCCCTCTCCCCGAGCCTCCGACCCCACCCTTGTCTCCTGCCGATGTCCCCGAGCCCTCCGATCCAATCTCTGCCCTTGCACATGTCCTAAATACACACCTTTCACGCCCAACCCACCCGGCCCCTGTGACAGCCCCTTCCACGGCTTTGGTCCCTCGTGTCCCTTCCGCCAGTCCTAGTTACCCAATCATGGTGGTTGGATCCGAGGTGTCTGGGACATCTGACCAGCCCTATGCAATGGGTGCCTCCCCCCAGGCCTCGGGTTTCCACCCAGTTACCTCACCTACCACAGCCCTCCCTGTTGTCCCCGCTACAGCTACCCCTGAGGCTACCCTCCGCCGTGGCCCAGTGTTGCCCGAAGAGATTGTTATGGTTGACCAGAATTCACCCCAGGTGGGGGTGAATAGGCTCCCCCAACAGCACACTATCCCTCAAGGTTACATCCCGATCAACCATGGTGCGGATGGTGCACCACCTATGTATGTTACCTTTAACCCTTCCCAAGCTGCTACCCTTGTGACCTCACTCCCTGATCCTGAAAAACACCCTATGCCTTTTTTCCGCCGGATGGCTCAGATCCGTAAAACGTACTCCGCTGCTTGGCGGGATCTTATTAGTCTATGTGAAATCAAAGCCGGTGATGCATACTGGCCAATCATGGAACGGAGCTTTAATGACGCTCCACTTACTTCTGATACTGACTTTCGTTCTGGTGAAATCTTTTGTGAACAGCTTCGAACTTGGGCACAGGATAAACTAGCAGATCAGGCTACTTGCATTAATGACATTATACAGGACAAACTTGAGACAGTTGAGAAGTACCACTCTAGGTTGACTCAGACTTTTTCAGACTTAGGGTTTAGTACTTACAACAAAGCACACACCCAGATGCTATCTGCAGCCTTTGTGGCAGGGCTTAGAGAACACATCCGTAAGGGGTTAATCTTAGCTCGGCCTGAGTATAGAATTATTCCACTGGACACTCTTTTGCTGGTTGCCAAGGGCTTAGAATCTGTTTTGCTACCCACACAACGTAGACCCAGTCCTCTGATGTATGCTACCTCCACCCCATTCGCAGGTCCAAGCCAGGGTCCTCAGATGCTTCCCCAACAGTACACCCAGCCCCCCCAGACACTGCCTGCGCCAATTCCTTTCTCCCGTGACCGGTCTGTCACGACAATCCGGACCTGCTTTAATTGTAATCAGCCAGGTCATTTTAGAAGAGATTGCCCACACCCTAGAGTGTTCCGCCAGCAGACTCCCCGGTACCAAAATCCACATGTCACCAGTTACAGTTTCCCCTCCACCGGTTATCTCCCTGCCCTACCCCATCCACAGTTGCCTCAGTTACCTCCTCCACCTCCTCCCCCTCCGCCTCCTGAGTACTCCCAAGCCCGGCTCCCCGCAGCAGAAGCCCGTGCATACACCTCGCCCTCCGCTGAAGGGTATGATACTGATGACTTCCAAGACAACCAACCTCATCCCCGCCATGCCCTCCGTCCATCCCGCCCACCCATGCATACTGCTAACCCTCCCTCCACCTCCCGCCGGTACCAGGGACCAGATCAAGCCCACCTAGATTTATTACAATAGGTAACTGGCAAGCCTGTGTCAGCAACCCCTGCCATGGCAGTGTCTGCGGGGGATGGAGGAGGACCTTTAGCTACTGTAGTTCTCCCCGTGGAGGGTCACCCAACCACCTTTTTAGTTGACACAGGTGCAGCCCGTAGTGTCCTTAGGGAACAAGACCTGCCAGACCCTTCCTTCCTATCTGACACTGATGTCTCCTGTGTTGGGGTGGATGGTACACCACGCAGTAACCCCCTTACCAAGCTCTTACATGTAGGCTCACATATCCTGTCCCGTTTTGTTGTTTCCTCCACCTGCCCCATTAACCTCCTAGGTGCCGATGTTCTCTCTCGGCTCCAGGCTTCCATTACCTTTACTGCAGATGGACAGGTTGAGTTGACAACCCCCTTATCACAGAAGGATACTTCTGTACTCTGCTCACTCCCAATTTTGTTGAATCTAACTGACAATACAGGGAATGCACGGGTCACACACACCCCCAGTGCCCTGGATCGTATCCCCCAAGAACTTTGGTCCACCGGCCCGGATGATATTGGACGCTTACATGTACCCCCAGTCCTGGTCCAGCTCCTGCCTGGTGCACTCCCTCCTCGTAGACCTCAGTATCCTCTGAAGCCAGCACAAGCTGAAGCCATCACCAAACAAGTTGAGACCCTGCTTGCAAAAGGTGCCCTCACCAAGTGTACATCTCCATGCAACACCCCTCTCTTCCCTGTTAAAAAGCGAACTGTTAAGGGCCAACCCGACCAATACCGTATGGTACAGGACCTCCGTGCTGTTAACGAGGTAACCATAAAGGACACTGCTATTGTTCCAAACCCTCATACCCTTTTGTCCCAAGTGCCGCCAACTTCAACAATTTTTACTGTTGTGGATCTGGCTAATGCCTTTTTCAGTGTTCCCCTTGATCCCTCCTGCCGTTTTCTCTTCGCCTTCACACATGAAGGACAACAATATACTTGGACTGTTATGCCCCAGGGAGCGCAGAACTCCCCAACACAGTTTGCTCATGCCATGTCTCTGGTTCTGGATCCCTGGCAGAAATCTCATCTCGATGTTGTTTTACTACAATATGTTGATGACCTTCTACTCTGTGCTCCTAATTTGCTAATTGCAGAACGTGACTCAGAAGATCTCCTATGTTTCCTCGCTGCTGCCGGGTGCAAGGCCTCAAAATCAAAGCTACAATGGTGCCGGCCCTCTGTGGTCTTCTTGGGACACTGCCTTTCCCATGGCACCAAACATCTAACCTCACAACGGGTGCAAGCTATCCTGCAACTCCCATTACCTGCAACCCATCACTCTCTTCATGCTTTCTTTGGTCTCATCACATACTGCAGGTCTTGGATACCTGAAGCATCCAAACTCATGCAACCTCTCTATGATGCACTTCGAAGTGAGCCCTTTCACCTCACTGAAGAAACTATTAACTGTTTCCATACTCTGAAAAGAGCTATTGCCTCTGCTCCTGCCTTGGGCCTACCCAACTATCAACTCTCTTTCAATTTTTTTGTCTCTGAAAAATCAGGACATGCTTCCGGAGTCCTTACTCAGAAACATGGGTCCAGACAACGGCCCATTGGCTATTTTTCCTGTATGCTTGACCCTGTTGCAAGGGGCAGCCCCTCTTGCCTCCGTGCTGTGTTTGCCGCCAGTGCCCTCCTGGACAAGACTAATGACTTTGTACTTGGCCATCACCTTACCGTGTTGGCCCCCCATGACATTACTGCTATCCTGCAACAGGTTCAACCCAAGCACCTTTCCTCCCAACGCCACCTCCGCCTGCAAACCTCATTGCTTTTACCTGACAACATAAAACTTCAGAGATGCCTAACCCTGAACCCGGCCACTCTTCTGCCACTTCCCAAGGGGGGAGTTGTGTACCACTGGTATAGCCTGGATATCAACCCGGAAGTTCTAACAGATCTGCAACTACCTGCACTTGCACCTCCACATGATGAACAATCAATGGCCCTACTTCATTGCACTTTGTGGGTTAGGGATGAACCAGGCCCTGATATGAATTATGAGGCAGAAGTATTCCAACTCAAAGAAATCCAAATTACCCTGACTGACTTGTTTTGGGACCTCACAGGTACCATGCTTATCTTGGTCCACCTCCCAGAGAGTGTGACACATCTCTATCACCATTGGGAAACATCGATCCCACACATATCTCTCACCAGACCCCCCGACATCTCATGGAAAGACCTAGGCCCGATGGCCAAAACCCAGAGTCAAATGACCCCAGAACAACTGACTTCTACGAGAATCAACAAAAAGACTATTAATTACTGTACAACTGGGTACCCCAGGTACCATACAGAAGCCTGTGAGCATCCACTCACCACAGACTGTGACCTCGATATCCCTCATGATTGCTTTGAACAAATGAAAATGGAAACTACACATCTACCAACTGTCTATGAAGCTGCACTACTCAACCCGGACCAAACACTATTTGTGGATGGGTCAAGATTTGCTGATGAACAAGGGCAATATCACACTGGGTATGCAGTTACCACAGAATGTCAAGTGTTACAAGCAGCTGCCCTACAACCAACTAAGTCTGCTCAAGAAGCTGAATTGACAGCCCTAACTGTGGCTTGCAAATTGTCTGAAGGGTTGCGTGTCAACATTTACACGGATTCAAGATATGCCTTGGGAGTAGCACATGATTTTGGCTTAATTTGGAAGACCAGAGGATTTCTTACGGCCGCTGGTACCCCAGTAAAGCATGGGGCAGGCATTGCAGAGCTGATGGACGCATTGGAACTTCCAGCTGAGGTGGCAGTACTGAAGGTAAAAGCCCATGGAAGACTAGACACAGAAGAAGCACGTGGCAATCACCTAGCTGATCAAGCAGCTAAAGAAGCAGCACGGCAAAGATGGGAAGTGGACAGAAGAGTGGCCACAGATACACTACCTATCTATACTATGCAAACATTGCCTACAGACCTTAGGCTTCTGAAGGAACAGCAAGCTGCTGCTACTCCCCAAGAGAAACAAGGTTGGAAGAACAAAGGAGCTGTACTCCGTGATGATGTTTACACCATTAATCTCAAGTTCTGCCTACCCAGAAGTATGTACCCAGCGGTGGTCCAATGGGCCCATGGGCCAGCTCACCTGTCAAAACTCCTGATGA